GAGGCCTGGTCATTAAGGGGAGTAAATCCTCTGGAGCTCAAGTGGTTAAGATGGTGAGTTTCTCAAAACTTCTCTATCCACTTCAAACCATACCCCTTCTCCTAAGACACAGTGACATAACGAGACTGAATCGGGCAATTTCAACGTTTTTATGGAAAGGCAAACGCCCTCGTATAGCGATTGACAAATTTTTCCTACCACGTAGTGAAGGAGGTTCCGGTCTTCCGAACGTGCGAGCCTATAATCTTTCATGTCTGCTTCGAATAGGCCTGGACTGGATCACCCAATCATCCAAATATTCCAATTACCACCTTGAATCAGCATTAGCATGTCCTTACGATCACTTGGCCCTATTGCATTCCACTGTTAACTCTTTACCGCCTCATCTAAAGAATAATCCACTTTTCCGCGATACTCTCATCACATGGAGGGAAGTCAGGCATAAATTGGGAGTTTATCCATGGCTTTCTCGCTTTCTCCCCTATTCATCATAACCCTTCCTTTTCTCCCCCACAATCTCACGAAGCTTATGGTGTCTGGCTAACTCAGGAACTGACCATCATTCACCACTTATATGACACCGCTACGGGATCCCCAAAGCCTCTCAACCGCATTTTACAAACCTACGGACTCCCAGCACATCATTTCTTTTATATATTCCAAGTTAGGAACTTTGTCAACTCCGTCGCACCTACCAAATCGGTGAGATTTCAGTCTACATTCATTGAAGTCTTAGCCAACTCTGGAAAATATAAAATATCAAACATATACAGACCTCTAAGCCTTCTATACGCCAAACCTTTCGACTCATTTAATGCTGTGAAATCTGGGATCAAAGCATTTGATAATACATTCTCAGCTGATCAACTGTTATGGGGCTTCAACTCCATATGTGCCTTCAACCACAACAAATTCTGGCGGGAACAACAACTTAAGATCTTTCATCGTGCCTATATGCCCTGCATCTACTCAAAAAACGATCCGCCTCTGTCTGTATGCCCTTTATGCGGGACTCAAAAACCATCACTCCAACATAGACTCTGGTTTTGCTCAGCCATCTCCACGTTCTGGAAGCAAGTGCTCAACTTCATAACATTCATCACCACATTCCAGCTACCCTTCCACCTGCTACCGTTACTCTTTGGCTATATGGATCAGCCAGTCATCGGCCTATTCTCTTCCCAATTGTCATCTTTCAGGAATAACAAGCCCTGGATATCCACATGTCTTCTATTAGCAAGGCGGGTCATTCTCCGAAAATGGGTCTCCAACTCTCCTCCAACCATGGCAGACATCAAGCAAGAGCTCAACTCCCTTCTACGTCTCGACAGACTCAATCTAATTATTTTCCCCGACCACTTCAAAAGAATCGCACTACCTCCGTAAATGGGATTCCTATATCACAGGAACCCTATCAGCACAAGAGCAGGTCTTCTTTCGTCAGAATCCCAATCAACTGAGCCGCCCAACGAATTCTCCTATGAATCCAGTGGCATCGGCTCGTTGGTCCAGTTGACTAGATACTTTTTGTTACACGTTGCTAATCCATTAATTATGCAATGTTTGTCTCAATTGTTCTCCCCCTCTTTCTCCTTCCGCTTTCTATCTACTTCTATCTCAACTTTTTCTTGCTCCTTGGTTTTTCCCCTCTACCTAGGCTTATATTCATATGGGACACCATTTTATAACATAGACCTTCATAAGGCAACTGGAGTGGGACATCTCCTCGACCTTTCCCATGGCGATCCCCGAAATGACTGACTTCCATTTCTCATGACTCCTCCCTTCTCTTACTCTTTCTCCTCATCTCTTTGGACTATCTAGGTTTCCTGGTAAAACTCCCCCTTTACGTTCTCACCCCAGCATTTGCACTCTCTCTTGTATCATTCACTATTAATTTTTAAATTGTCACTCACTCCGACCAATCTCTCTGCTCATGGTTACTCCTCCTCCTTACCTCCTACTCTACTTTTCTATCCCCACTTACCTATCTCAAACCCCTTAGTTTTCCGACATTTCCCCCCTTTTTTTTTTTTTACTCTCTTCTTCTTCAATGACATTGGTGGAGAGTGGATGGCGTATGCATACATCATAGTCCACGCATCGTATTGGCAAAACCTTGTCATCACCCCACCCTCTGTAGGTACACTCTCAAATGGCTAGCACTTCCCTTATTTTCTTTCTTCTCACACAAGAACTACTTGCCCACCACGTTGATATACCATTCTCATTGTTTCTCACTTTTGCAAATTCTTTACTCTGGTGGCCTTCAAATGTCTCCTTTCACGCCCCCCCCCCCATTACACTAAGTATGTCTCATTTGTCGTGCTATTACCATGTTGACTAGTTTGCTGTATCATGTATGCCATCACTACTGCACCATGTTGATTATGATCTGTCTTCTCTTATTGAAACCCAATAAATATTCTTTAAAAAAAAAAATTCGATTTGGATTGAATGGAATTTCCCAAATGAAAACCACATTCATTGTTAGAATTTCATACTAGAAAAAAAGAAAAGTCTGACCTGCTCCTTCAATTTTTTTTTTCATCACTACTGTTGAAAACGATGGTCAGTTCAAGCCCATTAACTACTACAAAATTTAGCAAATGTTCCAAATACATTTCTCTAAAATGCTACTGGTGTGTGGCCAGCTTTATGCCACCACACGTGCGATCATCTTCCAGACATCTTACCAGATCTATAATGGAACTGGGGAAAATTGGACAGTGGGTCACTGTCACGATCGCGGCATCAGATCCCAGACCTTCTCACCAAACTCCTGACCGAAGGACTGGCCGATCTAAAACCGCAATGTTACGTTGCATAACAATGCCACAGCCAGCTGCACCCTGCAAAACGATTTTCCAGCTAATGGAGAACTGATCGATATGCCGTCAGCCTGAGCGATTGTTACTGGGTCAGGTTAATTACACAACTAACCCTCCACACTGCCACCACCTCCTTTTTGTACAGAGAAAGAGGAAACTCGCGTTATCAGTTATAACACTATAATGATTGAAATAATCGTCTGCAAAAAACGATCCGCAGGCCGGTTATACAGAGGTTTAAACAAACAGTAGCGTCTTTTCAAAGGCAGGGATTCGTAAATTGCAATTAAGAACTATAGGAACAGTTCAACACTTTCAGAAAGAGAGATTTATTACTAAAAGAGTCAAACAGGTGAAATAAAATTATTTACAGAGAAGATGTAACTAAGATATATATATATACAGGAAACAGCATAGCACAGCAGAGAGATAACAGAGAGAAGTTAAAGGGTTAAGTTACTTGCCAGTAAGCCTTTGATGTAAGCAGATCCAACTTTTTTAGAGCAGAATGGTGCTTTGATCTCCCGCCGTTATGATGGAAAAATGGGAGATGTCTTCAATTCACTTCTCTTAGGCCTGACAGCCAGTTTTTTAAAGTTTCCCGGCAGGGGGTGGTTCTGAAGTAACAAACCAATCCCTTGTGCAGGGAGGGGTCATCAGGCGGGACCCTAAACTGGGGCCAACATCTTTCATAATTCATATTCTGTTCCATAATGTTCCAGCTGCACAAGCTACAGTCCACACGCAGGTATTTTATTATGCAGATAATCCTGAGGATTATTTAGATATGAATTATGAAATTATATGTGGCACGGTTCGTGAGTTCTATGTTCCGGCTTCCCTGATCGCCTGAGATAAATGAATGACCCATCAAACTGTTCGTCTGCTCATTGGCCATCTCACGAGGTGCCCGGTTTTTATGTAAGTCTTCCATATTCCAGGATATGAGACATAGGATAAAAATTGATTTGAGGAGTATTCATTTAATTCTGTCACCTACGCCGCTAGTTTTTATGAGGTTAAAACCTCTTTCAATCCCGGGAAAGCTGCCTTATCTCCTTACGAGGTGTTAAATTACCCAGGTACTTTTGGTCAGTGAGGCTCCAACGCTCTTGGAAATGCTGGCCTTATCTTGCCTAGGTGAGGAAGGTTACAGCTTCGCAGACCGCTCGGCACCTAGCTTGGTTGGCCAGTGACCCATAAACAGTACACACACACACACACTGGCCAAAATGTCCCTCTCAGTGAGAGGGAGGGGTAGGAGAGAAATGGATACCCTTAGCAAGATGGAGTCTGAAACCAAAATGGTTGAACCGCGTCCATCTCGGATGCGTGTGTTTGTGACAGTCACCACATTTTAGATGGCAAAACAATCATATGATAAAATAAGAAATAAATTGTTCCTTACAAAAACACTATTATGCTCCATGCACACTACCGGGTTTTTAAGCTCAAAAAAATCCTGGATAAAAATCACTGGTAATAAAGCTTTTTAGTGTTTTAAACCACTTCCTGTCCGGACACTTTTACCCCCTTCCTGCCCAGCCCAATTTTCAGCTTTCAGCGCTATCACACTTTGAATGACAATTGCGCGGTCATGCAACACTGTACCCAAACTAATTTTTTACAATTTTTTTGAGACAGATAAAGCTTTATTTTGGTGGTATTTATTCACCACTGGGATTTTTATTTTTTTTTTTGCTATATAAATGAAAAAAAAAAGTCCAAAAATTTTGAACAAAAGTGTTTTTTTTTTAAATTTTGCAAATAAATAATAATATTTCCTCATAAATCTTGGCCAAAATTTATTCCGTTAGCTTTTTAGTAAAAAAAACAAACAAACAAATTAGTTTATAACCAAAAATTATAATTTTTAAACATTTTTTTTTACATTTTTATTTTTATTTTTTTATATTATTGTTTTTTATTTATTTATTTTTTTTTTATATACTGCCACCCTAGCAGTACAGTGTCACCATGGTGACACTGTACTACTTGTGGGGGGTGATGAAGATTTTTTTTTTTTTACACTGATTGCTTTTACACCCATATAGGATGTAAAAGCAATCATTTCTCTTTCTCTCTGTCTGCATTCTTGCACTCATTGAGAAGTATTGAGTGAGCTGTGATTGGTCACAGCTTGTCACATGGTACAAGGCTGTTGTGAATAGACCCGTACCATGTGACCTCCGTGATCATTCACAGATTTCACTTGTAGTAAGCAATGATGTCACAAGTGACATCTTCCTTACTACTTTGCATGTGATCACTGATTGGCCAATCAGTGATCACATGATCGGGACCTCGTACAGAGGTCCTGTCCGACGATCGGTGTTTCACTGTGTCCGGAGGACACAGCGGGCACCGGATCGCGGTGCTGCATGCTCCTGGGGAGTGCGCGCACAAGTAGGGTGCGGTTAGGCCGTTTATAAACGGCCACCCGACCCTGCAGTGCCACCGTCCGGCTGTTTATATGCAACGGCCGGTCGGGAAGTGGTTAATATCATTGTGGTATCGTTTAGGAGCATTGCCATTTTATTAGCATTTTTACAGTACATGTAGGGAAAAAAAAAGAAGAAAAGGCTAGAAACAAAGTTGTTAGTAGCGTTTAGCATTTTTTATGCTGGAAAAACGCTCCAAAAAACTGTACAAAAACAATTTTATTTCTGCCCCTAGAAGCTGAAGCTCTAAAAATGCTAATTGCCTAAAGCAGTGTGCATGGACACATAGGAGAACACTATTTAGCTTCTAGGAGCAGAAAAAAAATGTTATTGTTCATGGAGCCTTAAGGTGGGAATACACGATTAGAATATCGACCGATCGGTCATCCGATGACCGAGAGGCGTTCGTTCTTTGGTCAAAATCGTGGCTCACAATAACCAATCTAAAAAAAAAATTTTTAGTCGGGCAATACGTAGTGTTGACGTCTTCCATACAAGTGGAAGTGATGCGGTGTGCGTGTGACCTTGTAGCCACGCCCTTCCGGCCAGAACGAGCGATATACACAACGATTACCAGCAATGAGTATAATATCGTTTATTACATGACTTATATACATAAATAATGATACATAAAATATAATCTGCAGAATTCTGGTTTCATGATCTCATTAGGCCAATCTACTTTTAACATTTAGATTTTTCATTTGTGTTTACGAAGATTCCTTGGACATAAACATCCGGGTCATCTTCTGTTTCCGCTCATGCGTGATAGCGCTTGATAGATTTTTTTTCGTACGATGTCATACCGCCGCATAGAAAATCGGTCATTCATATGTGAAACGACAACATTTTTCTCTGTTGTTCAACCGGATTTTTTCTTTCACAATATCGTTATCGGTTAAGACATCCTGCTCATCAATGAAGAGAAAATCTTTCGATCAGTGGTTCCGCTAAATTTTTTGGATGATTTTCTTATCGTGTGTAAGGGGCATTAGACTCTTCATCCATCCAGTTTTGCTGGGCCTTATATCCAGTATGTATGCAGAAATGGAGTCCATGAGTAGGATGGAGCACCAGGAAGCTTTAGTTAACCACTTGGTAACCGCGCTATTGCCGAATGACATCCTCCCAGAACGTGCCCTCCCGCACGCCCCTCAGTAGCGTGGCACCCGGTGATCTCCGTGATTGCTGTGTCCTATGGACACAGCTGATCACATGACGAGCTAACAGGCCAATCACAGTAGACTTTTACCACGTGATCAGCTGTGTCCAATGACTGATCACGGAGTAAATACAAAACTAAATTGAATAAAAATCAGTAACAAAAAACTCCACCATTTTTTAAGACCACGTACACAAAAACATACACGTACATGGCTGTTGTGGTTACATACAAAATGCCAATTGCAGTATACATCGTAAGTATTTCTGCACACACAAAAGTGACAGCAATAATTGTAGGGCTGCCATTCATGGTTATCTCTAAACTAATGACCTATGAAGGCTTTTAGGGTAGATTTAGATGTGCGTCTAAATCTCCCTTTACTCTCATGCCCGATCCGCATTCGGATTATGCTATGGAGGTTACTGTCAGGCATGAGGAAACAATGCAATGCCTTCCCACCTCCAGTTTTATCCCTATCATTGATGACAAACACGCCCCAACCATGTGCATTGGACACATTGGTGGGGAATTTGCAGCTCTTACCCAATGGCTTGAATGTGTAGCGTTTGGTGGGCTTGGCACCCTCTGATCGCTACATGTCAGGTAAATTTTGAAGCATTGTGACCGTGGCATGTACAGGGGCGGACTGACCATTCGGGTACTCGGGCACTGCCCGAGGGCCCAGGGTCAGTAGGGGGCCCCATCAGATGTTCCTGGTACCTTTCATAGGCTTTTTTGGGTGTGGTTTGAGTGTGGGCAAGGACACAGGGGCCCCATGATCCCCTATTGCCCGGGGGCCCCATGGGTTGTCAGTCCGCCCCTGGGCATGTAAACATTCCTGCCCACTGCCTATTACAGCTTAACCACTTGCCCTCCAGAGGATTTACCCCCCTTAACTAATTGCCGACCGCAGATAGCCGAATGACGGCTGCACTGCGGCCGGCCAGTTCTGGGTGGACGTCATATGACGTCCTCCCAGAACACGCTCTCCTGCGACACGGTGATCAACCGGGGAAATTGCAAATGCCGGTTCTCAGGAGCACTTTCCTCACGCTGTCAGATCGTGAGGAAAGTACTGCCGAAAACCGGCAGTTGTCAGAGCGGGGATCGGCACCTATCATCAGGGTCACTGATCATCAGTGCCCTGATGATCAGTGCTCAGCAGTGCCACACACAAGTTCCGCCCACCTGTGCCCAGCAGTGCGCCCACCTGTGCCCAGCAATGCACCCACCTGGGCCCAGCAGTGCGCCCACCTGTGCCACCCAGCAGTGTCACCACCTGTGTCCAGAAGTGCCACTTACCTGTGCCCAGTAGTGCCACCCACCTGTGCCCACCCATCAGTGCCACCCACCAGTGCCCATCAGTGCAGCCCAGAAGTGCTGCCAGTCAGTGCCACCAGTCAGTGCCCAGCGGTTGTGCCAGTCAGTGCCCAGCAGTGCCACCAGTCAGTGCCCAGCAGTGATGTCAGTCAGTGCTACCTATCAGTGCTGTCTATCAGTACCCATTATCAGTGTCACCTATCAGTGCCACCAATCAGTGCAGCATATCAGTGCCACCTATCCGTGACACCTCATTAGTGCCGCCTATCAGTGCCACCTATCAGTGCCCTTCAGTGCTGCCTATCAGTGCCCATCAGTGCTGCCTCATCAACGCACATCAGTGAAGGAGAAAAAATACCTGTTTGAAAAATTTTATAATAGAAACAAAAAACTTTTTTCTTTTTTCAAAATTTTTTGCATTTTTTTGCTTATAGCACAAAAAGTAAAGTGCCCAGCAGCGATTAAATACCACCAAAAGAAAGCTCTATTTGTGAGAAAAAAATGATAAAAATTTCATATGGGTACAATCTTGCATGACCGCGCAATTGTCAATCAAAGTGCGACAGCGCTGAAAGCTGAAAATTGGCCTGGTAAAGAAGGGGAAATAAGTGCCTGGTAGGCAAGTGGTTAATGACCACGCCTCTTTTTGCTACTCTACTTTTGCTGCACTAATTCAACTGATAATTGCGCGGTCATGCAATGCTGCACCCAAATGAAATTTACATCCTTTTTTTCACACAAATAGAGCTTTCTTTCTGTGGTATTTGATCACTTTTTATTTTTCATGCTATAAACAAAAAAATACCAAAAATTTTGAAGAAAAACAATATTTTTTACTTTCAGCTATAAAAAATATATAGTAAACTCAAAGTTGGTTATAAATTTAGGCCAAAATGTATTCTGCTACATGTTTTTGGTAAAAAAAATCCCAATAAGTGTATATTGATTGCTTTGTGTGGAAGTTATAGCGTCTACAAACTATGGTATATATCAGCAATGGGCAAACTACGGCCCGCGGGCCGTATACGGCCCGCGGGCCGTATACGGCCCGGCGGACCTTTTAATCCGGCCCGTGGAGCGTGATACATTGGCTGTCAGAATGTGTGTAGGCGGGGCAGCGTGATGAAGGGGAGGGGAGGGGAGCTAGGCTCCTCTCACAGTCCACCCTGAAGACCGGAACGGCGCGGGAACACGGCGAGAGGAACGCGCGGAGCAAAGGTAAGTGAATTGACACAGGGGGGACTTGGGGACTTAATATGGGGAATGAATTAATATGGGGAATGAATTACTATAGGGGGGATGAATTACTATATGGGGGATGAATTACTATATGGGGGATGAATTACTATGGGGGATGAATTACTATATGGGGGATGAATTACTATGGGGGATGAATTACTATAGGGGGGATGAATTACTATGGGGGATGAATTACTATATGGGGGATGAATTACTATGGGGGATGAATTACTATATGGGGGATGAATTACTATGGGGGATGAATTACTATGGGGGATGAATTACTATGGGGGATGAATTACTATATGGGGGATGAATTACTATATGGGGGATGAATTACTATGGGGGATGAATTACTATATGAGGGATGAATTACTATATGAGGGATGAATTACTATGGGGGATGAATTACTATGGGGGATGAATTACTATATGGGGGATGAATTACTATGGGGGATGAATTACTATATGGGAGATGAATTACTATGGGGGGGATGAATTACTATGGGGGATGAATTACTATATGGGGGATGAATTACTATAGGGTGGATGAATTACTATATGGGGGATGAATTACTATATGGGGGATGAATTACTATGGGGGATGAATTACTATGGGGGGGATGAATTACTATATGGGGGATGAATTACTATGGGGGATGAATTACTATATGGGGGATTAATTACTATGGGGGATGAATTACTATATGGGGGATTAATTACTATGCTTACTATGGGGGAATATTACTATACTTACTATGGATGACACATACACATCATTCATCTACTCTTGGTCCGGCCCCCGGGTCCAATATATGAACCCATTGCGGCCCTCAAGTCAAAAAGTTTGCCCACCCCTGGTATAGATACTGCAATTTATGCCTTTTTTTGCTATACAGCGCTGCGCTAGTTTAACGGACAATTGCGCGGTCATGCAATACGGTACATAAATGAAATTTACATCCTTTTTTTCCCCACAAATTGAGCTTTCTTTCGGTGGTATTTGATCACCTGTGCGGTTTTTATTTTTTGCGCTATAAAAAAAAAGGCTGACAATTTTGAGGAAAAAAACAATATTTTGGACTTTTTGCTATAAAACATGTCCAGTAAAAAAAAGTAAAAATCAAATGTAGTCATAAATTTCTGCCAAAATGCATTCTGCGACATGTCTTTGCTAAAAAAAAACCCAATACGTGTAAATTAATTGGTTTACGGGAAAGTTATAGCGTTTACAAATGGCGAGAAAGATACTGGGATTTTTTATTTTTTTTATACTAATAATGGCGGCGATCAGCGACTTATGGTGGGACTGTGGGACATTCTGACACTGGGGGGGGAACTGACTTGGGGTCACTGACATCCCCAGTGACACCAATACAGTGATCAGCGCAAAAAAAAAAACCACTGACACTGTACTAATGGCACTGGGGAGGAAGGGGTTAACTTTTATATTTACTGAAAGGGTTAACTGTGTGAGGGGAGTGTTTTACTAGGGGGCGGGGGGGGGGTGTGTACTGCACAGGGACACGCTGATCGGGAGAGATGAACTCTTCTCTCCGGATCAGCATGTCAGGAGCTGACGGGACTGACAGAAAGCACGGCTGCAGTGTAAAGACTGCAGCCGTCCTCTCTGTCAGTGATTGCCGCTAATTGCCGGGACATGGTAGGTAATGACCGGCTGTGACCTGGCGACTGACACCCGCGGCCGCGATTGGTGGGACGGGTAGGGTGGGCACGTGCCTCGCGCATGCACCCTACCTGTTTTGCAAACACACGTTTTAAAATGTGGTTTTGCCCAGCCGTGCCGCCCTGCCACCGTATTTCTACAGTGGCTGGTCGGCAAGAAGTTAAGGGGGGCGGTTGGTGGGCTGCAAAAAACACGCATTTTTCCACCCCCCCAACTACCCAAAACTGGATCCTATGGACCCTTTTGGACACAGTGTTAAAGGCATGTCGTGTTTTTTGTTTTTCTACATCTATTTACGTGACACAAGCTCATCTGTTATATCTGGGGTCAGATTTTTATTGCTGTCAGTGTCCAAGCTGGGAAGAGTCACTCTCTCCATTTGTCCTGGTCACTATGAAGGAGCAATGGGCCCCCTCTAGTCATACCTGCCTCCAATATATTCATTGCTATATTTGGCCCAGATCAGCAGCTCTGTTAGACTACAGTTAGCCCCAGTTCACATGTATATGGTGCAGGAAATACTTTGATCCCTGTGCGTTTCCTGCACCGCACTGTGATCGCACTGTGTTTTGCGTTCTGCTGGGGGTGTACATTTAAATTTACCGACACCCCAAAAGCAGGTCGCCTTTGCCTGCACCCAGGACAAGGGGTGGGCGGAAAGGGCGGTTGCCCTGGATGCAGTGGTATCATGTGAGGTGGGTGGGGGGGCACCACATGGACAGTTCCTACCTACAAGCTGACAGGAGTTGTGACGGCAACTTCACTACTCCTGTCAGCTTAGCTCTGGAGGGGACAAGCCAGATCTGGAGAGGAGAGAGCTGAAAGAAGGGACAGGTTGTGTTCTCTCTCCCCTGCCAGTGGCATCTGTAGTGCTGGGCCCCGATGCTGTGATCCTATAGCTCTTTTATAGTGCTTGAATTTTTGGGAGGGGGACTGACACATAATGCACATACATTTTGGGAAGGGGGGAGAGGCACCTTTTGGCATCTTCATCCTGGGCACTAGATGACCTTGTCCAGGCACTGCCTGCACCAGATCATATACAAAATGACCATGCGATCCAGGGCGGCTCAAAAAAAGGTGCCTGCACCTTTTCATTTTGAATGGGCTCAAATCACACCGCACAGAACTGCACAGGAATGAGGTGCGTTTCCCGTGTGATTCCCATGCGAACTACAGTGTGAAGCCAGGCTGAAACCCGCAGTTCACAGAGGTGCCTTGGAAAATCTGTATTTGAAGGAGGTAATGGGATTGATTTACTAAAGGCAAATAGCCTATTCACTGCAAGTTCAGTTTCTCTAGACCTGAGTAGTGATGTCCTGGAACATCGGCCGTTTGTGTGTTTGGCGTACAGACAAATGATAAGGGCGCACTCTAAAATGCACTGCGCTCTGACAGTGCATTGTGATTGGCCAAAGCAAAGCACCTGACCACAGGTGCAATGCTTTGGCCAATCACAGCACAATTGCGCAGAGCTTGCATTGACATCACCGCCAGCTCCGCTCAATTATTTACATCTGACTCACAAATGTCTGATAGCGGCAATTGCTCGACCAGTCTGCGAGCGTCGGGTTTTTGTCTCCCGAAAAGTCGGTGTCATCGTGCCAATGCTGAACACCATGATTGACGATGGATTACAATAATGGAACCTTTTTTTGGGCTTTTTTTTTTTAAATATAGGACTTGTCAAAAAACTGTTGTGTTTTTATTTTACACTTTTTTGATGAATGGGTAGGTGTACCATGTACCCCATACTGATTCACAAGGGGGGGCCGGGATTCCAGATTAAGATAATCTGTGCTCAGATCAGGCCTGTGCTCAGATCAAGAGTCTGGTAGGATTTTTAGGGGGAACCCCACTTATTTAAAAAAATATATATTTTACTGTGAGGTCCGTCCTAACTTTCCTACTAGACCTAAAAGGTCTGGTAAGGATTGGGGGAGACCCCAAGCTTTTTTTTTTTTTAATAAAAATGTCTTTTTAAAAAATAAAAGTCAGTACTGCTGCAGCAGGTTCTATACATTGTACAGATGTGCAACTTTGAAGGTAGTTTTAACCACTTCCAGTCCGGACACTTTTACCTCCTTCCTGACCAGGGCAATTTTCAGCTTTCAGCGCTATCACACTTTGAATGACAATTGCGCAGTCATGCAACACTGTACCCATATGAATTTTTTACCATTTGTTTGAGACAGATAAAGCTTTATTTTGGTGGTATTTATTCACCGCTGGGATTTTTATTTTTTTTGCTATGTAAATAAAAATGTCCCAAAATTTTGAAAAAAAGTTTTTTTTTTAAATAAAATTTTGCAAATAAATAATATTCCATCATAAATCTTGGCCAAAATGTATTCCGTTATCTTTTTAATAAAAAAAAAAGTGACATATTGCTTACTACTTTGCATGTGATCACTGATTGGCCAATTAGTGATCACATGATCGGGACCTCGTACAGAGGTCCCATACGACGATCTGTGTTTCACTGTGTCCGGAGGACACAGCGGGCACCGGATCGCGGTGCTACGCGCTCCCAGGGAGCGCGCACAAGCAGGGTGCGGGGAGGCCGTTTATAAACGGCCACCCGACCCTGCAGTGCCACCGTCCGGCCGTTTATATGCAATGGCCGGTCGGGAAGTGGTTAAGCAATGAGAAATGACTGCCCCTTTAAAAATGGTACTTTTCACTGATTCATGTCCCTCAGGGCAGTACCAGAGTCCCCATACCACTTTAAGGCCAATACCTTGCATGTAAGCCTTCAAAATGGGCACTTTTGAATTTACAAGTTCGAGTCCCATAGACTTGCAATAAGTTCAAAGTTCATGGTGGAACTTTCGTCAGGTTCGAATGTTCGACCGTGAACTGAACAGGGGGTGTTCGGCCCATCACTAGACCTGAGGGGAAGCTCTGAAATGATGGGAAGTCTTGCCGATTTTGATCATCCAATCATATGCAAGCAAATGTTCCCCTCAGATCTAGAGCAATTTGCCTTTAGTAAATCAACCCCATAGGATAATACAGGTGAAACTCGAAAATTAGAATATGGTGCAAAAGTTCATTTATTTCAGTGCAGCAACTTAAAAGGTAAAACTAGACTCATTACATGCAAAGCAAGATAGTTCAAGCCGTGATTTGTCATCATTCTGATGATTATGGCTTACAGCTCATGAAAACCCCAAATCCACAATCTCAGAAAATTAGAATATTGTGAAAAGGTGCAATATTCTCGGCTCAAAGTGTCCCACTCTAATCAGCTCATTCAGCCACAACACCTGCAAAGGGTTCCTGAGCCTTTAAATGGTCTCTCAGTCTGGTTCAGTAGGAATCACAATCATGGGAAAGACTGCTTACCTGACAGTTGTGCAGAAAACCATCATTGACACCCTCCATAAGGAGGGAAAGCCTCAAAAGGGAATTGCAAAAGAAGTTGGATGTTCCCAAAGTGCTGTATCAAAGCACATTAATAGAAAGTTATGTGGAAGGGAAAAGTGTGGAAGAAAAAGGTGCACAAGCAGCAGGGATGACCGCAGCCTGGAGAGGATTGTCAGGAAAAGGCCATTCAAAAGCGTTGGGGACTTTCACAAGGAGTGGACTGAGGCTGGAGTCAGTGCATCAAGAGCCACCACACACAGACGTATCCTGGACATGGGCTTCAAATGTCGTATTCCTCTTGTCAAGCTGCTCCTGAACAACAAACAACGTCAGAAGCGTCTTACCTGGGCTAAAGAAAAACAGACCTGGTCTGTTTCTCAGTGGTCCAAAGTCCTCTTTTCTGATGAGAGCAAGTTTTGCATCTCATTTGGAAACCAAGGACCCCGAGTATGGAGGAAGAATGGAGAGGCCCGGCCCAAGGACCCCGAGTATGGAGGAAGAATGGAGAGGCACAAGGATCCCGAGTATGGAGGAAGAATGGAGAGGCCCAAGGACCCCGAGTATGGAGGAAGAATGGAGAGGCCCGGCCCAAGGACCCTGAGTATGGAGGAAGAATGGAGAGGCACAAGGACCCCGAGTATGGAGGAAGAATGGAGAGGCCCAAGGACCCCGAGTATGGAGGAAGAATGGAGAGGCACAAGGATCCAGAGTATGGAGGAAGAATGGAGAGGCCCAAGGACCCCGAGTATGGAGGAAGAATGGAGAGGCCCAAGGACCCCGAGTATGGAGGAAGAATGGAGAGGCCCAAGGACCCCGAGTATGGAGGAAGAATGGAGAGGCCCAAGGACCCCGAGGTATGGAGGAAGAATGGAGAGGCACAAGGACCCCGAGGATGGAGGAAGAATGGAGAGGCACACACTGCAAGATGCTTGAAGTCCAGTGTGAAGTTTCCACAGTCTGTGTTGATTTGGGGAGCCATGTCATCTGCTGGTGTTGGTCCACTGTGCTTCATTAAGTCCAGGGTAAACGCAGCCGTCTACCAGCAGATTTTGGAGCACTTCATGCTTCCTTCCGCAGACAAGCTTTATGGGGATGCTGACTTCATTTTCCAGCAGGACTTGGCACCGCCCACACTGCCAAAAGCACCAAAACCTGGTTCAATGACCGTGGGATTACTGTGCTTGATTGGCCAGCAAACTCGCCTGACCTGAACCCCATAGAGAATCTATGGGGCATTGCCAAGAAAAAGATGAGAGACATGAGACCGAACAATGTAGAAGAGCTGAAGGCCGCTATTGAAGCATCCTGGTCTTCCATAACACCTCAGCAGTGCCACAGGCTGATAGCTTCCATGCCACCCCGCATTGAGGCAGTAATTGCTGCAAAAGGGGCCCAAACCAAGTACTGAGTACATATGCATGCTTCTACTTTTCAGAGGTCCGATATTGTTCTATGTACAATCCGTGTTTTATTGATTGCATGGAATATTCTCATTTTCTGAGATTGTGGATTTGGGGTTTTCATGAGCTGTAAGCCATAATCATCACAATTATGACAAATCACGGCTTGAACTATCTTGCTTTGCATGTAATGAGTCTATCTCATATATTAGTTTCATCTTTTAAGTTGCTGCACTGAAATAAATGAATGAATGCACCATATTCTAATTTTTTGAGTTTCACCTGTATAGTGGGGTGTTTGGAAGCTGTAAAAAAAAAAAAAAAAAAACCTGACGCCCCTAAAAGTGGCTGCAAAAATTAACGAATATTTATGTTTGCTGTTAGTACAACCAGACAGTTTACAGAGGCCCAGTGGGTTCAAAGGAATAGGAAAGCTCTAAATGATTACAAAGCTCAGCAAAGCCTTTTATAACAGAAGAAATCTGCACTTCTTACCTCCACCATGAATCCCCCAATATAAATGGGTTTATTCCTTATTTTTGCAAATTATCACATACATTCTAATATAAAGCCATCGCATTTATTTCAAAATACACAACACCATCTCAGGTCTGACAACTATCATCAGTACAAGACGTGAAAACCATAGCGTGTGTGGGCCAGGGCTTGGGGTACAACCAGAGAGTGTAAATCAGACAGTAGATGGTATGGATCAGGGGTCAGCAAACAGTAGATCATGATCTACCAGTAGATCTCAGCCAGGTGACTGGCCGATCGCGGCCTGAACTTACTGACCCACCATCCCAGAGCATCAAGCAGAGTGCAATGCAGACGGACTACGGCCCCATTCACACCTGAGCATTTTGTAGCACGAAGCTCGAAGCTCCAAAATCCTCAAGAGGGGAGAAAAAAAAAAAATCAACATTACTCTATGGAGATGGTTCACATCTCCACTCCACGTCACCTGAAGCAGAACGCCTGAAGCTCAAAAAGGTGTTGCAGCTACTTTTTTAGCTCAAATTGGGCAGAATTGCATGTTTTTTGGTGCATTTTTATTCTCATAGAAAAGAATAGAAACGCACGATTGGCACGCTTTTTCTGCTCAAATTGAAAATAAAAAAAAAAGTAATATATGAATAAATAAATGTAAAAATAAATACACATATAAATACAAAATCATGATAAATAAATAATTAACCCCTAACTTTATATATATATATATATATATATATATATATATATATATATATATATACAGTTATGTTCAAAATAATAGCAGTCAGACATCACTATCCGGATCAATCACTGTTTTTGGTAGAAATGATATTTCTACATGACAAATAATTTACTATCAGGTGTAGTAGAGTAATAGAAATCCAACAGACCCAACAGTCATGACATGCATGCTGCTGATTCTGTGTCATTGAATCACTCATTGAAAGGGGCATGTTCAAAATAACAGCAGTGTGGAGTTCTATTAGTGAGGTCATTCATTCTTTGAAAAACAGGTGGAAATTATTGCCCTTATTTAAGGAAGGAAGGCAGCAAATGTTGTACATGCTGGTTACAGTGCATTTCTCTCTGAAATTCTGAGGAAAATGGGTCGTTCCAGACATTGTTCAGAAGAACAGCATACCTTGATTAAAAAGTTGATTGGAGAGGGGAAAACATAAAGAAGTGCAGAAAATGATAGGCTGCTCAGCTAAAATGATCGCAAATGCTTTAAAATGGCAACCAAAACCTGAAAGACGTGGAAGAAAGCGAAAAACTACCATTGGAATGGATAGAAGAATAGCCAAAATGGCGCGGACTCAGCCAACAATCAGCTCCAGGAAGATGAAAGAAGGTGTAAAGTTCCCTGTGAGGACTGTTACAATTAGAAGACGCCTATGTGAAGCCAAGCTATCTGCAAGAAGTCCCCGCAAAGTCCCACTGTTGGAAAAAAAGACGTGCTGAAGAGGTTACAATCTGCCAAAGAGCACATTGACCGGCCTAAAGAGAAATGGCGCAACATTTTGTGGACTGATGAAAGTAAGATTGTTCTTTTTGGGTCTAGTGGGCGGAGACAGTTTGTCAGACGACCCCCAAACACTGAATTCAAGCCACAGTACACTGTGAAGACAGTGAAGCATGGTGGTGCAAGCATCATGATATGGGGATGTTTCTCATACTATGGTGTTGGGCCTATTTATCGCATACCAGGGATCATGGATCAGTTTGAATCCATCAGAATACTTGAAGAGGTCATGCTGCCTTATGCTGAAGAGGAAATGCCCTTGAAATGGGTGTTCCAACAAGACAACGACCCCAAACACACCAGTAAACGTGCAACATCTTGGTTCCAGACAACAAGATTGATGTTATGGAGTGGCCAGCCCAATCCCCGGATCTTAATCCAATAGAAAACTTGTGGGGGTGACATCAAAAATGCAGTTTCTGAGGCAAAACCAAGAAATGGAGAAGAACTGTGGAATGTAGTCCAATCATCCTGGGCTGGAATACCTGATCACAGGGGCCAGAAGTTGGGTGACTCCATGCAACACAGATGTACAGCAGTTCTCAGAAACAGTGCGACTACAACCAAATATTCATGAAGTCATTCAAAGGAAAGCAAAATCTTCAAACATTTCTCAGTTTATAAAGTGAATGTTTGACTTTGTAAAGAAGAATACAAACACTGCGATTTTTTTGAACAGTCTAATATTCACTTTTCTTCAATTTTTTTTTAGAGGAACAACACAAATTTGATGTATTTTTCTTCATGTTGTGATTTGGAATAGAATGTGTCGTGTTCCCAATGCATTTGTGTGGATGGAAATAAAAGCTATTAG